ATGCTATTAAATGGAACGTATACCAGGGAGTTTCATAAACTAGAGCTCGAATCAGAGAGAATAAAATTTGAGGTGAACTTTACATGATACTTTTCAAATTTGCTCTCTTAATTTTTCCTTAATACCACAACCTTGTAAATGTTAATAAAGTAGCAGCGATGCTGAACATGCTTGAATCTTGAAACTGCAAATAAGCTAACAAACCTGAAAATCACCATGTTGAGAAAGAGGGAGAGATGGTTCAGGATTCTTTTTAAAATGTGTTTGTTTTTGCAATGTCAAGAGGTATAATGAAAAATGTGTTGCACCCATTTGAAAAAAGGCAGTCAGAATATTTTTTAGAACTTCTCAAATGAATAAAGCATTCCTTAATTTACAGTTTTGTGGGATTAGTTGTATACTAATATTATTACAACCTTCTAAATCCTGTAACACTATTACAAAACATACCCTCCAGGCAACTTAGTCAAAACTTATTGTCCAAGCATGTAAAACAGCCATAACCTAAAATCATTACTACTGAGAGGGGGGGGAAAGGCTCCTACAAGGTTTCTAATAGCTTACTACTTTTCTTAGAAAATGAGCCAACGTTTAAAAAACAAAGCAAGCCAATTCTAAGCTTAAGTGAACTTCCTAGCCCTGTAAACAAAATAAAAGATTCTTTTCATGCCATCATTTTAGGCAGAGTCCAACTTATTTGAAACACATCATTTAGCAACAGGCAAGAAAGCTCTTCAGTTAAAACCCCTCTCACTCCCATTGTCTTCCATTTGGAAACAACATGCAATATCAGAGCTGAACAGATGAAAAACAGGAAAATGAATGATTTTTTTAAGACCCTTGATTGTAGTTTGACCCGTGCCATCTCCCCCAAAAAATTAAGAAAAAAAATACAGGCCATCAAGAGATGTGATTAAATAAACTGAGGATGCCTGGTTCTTCAGCAAGACCATTTGTTTCTCCCCTCCTCTGCTTGCTTGGAAAAGTTCAGAGTTCTTTTGTAGCACACGGGGGCCAGGCTCTCTGAAAACCAACCTTTTCCCACCTCATGCTTGAAACTTCAAGCTGAAGTAATATATACCAGAGGCAAATTAATATGTTTGCTAAAGAGAAATTCAATTAGTACTGCAGCAACAAATCCCTCGAACAGCCCAAGTGATTAAAACTCATCTAAAAAGGAGAAGTTTGCTCTCAGCCATCAGAATACTTTAAATAAGCGCTGGGAGAGCTCCCAGAAACTCTTGCTTGGCTATTTACTGCTTGAAAGCCAGGGTGCCTCGGTGGCTTTCAAAGCTGCATAATAATGAAGCCCCCTTCAACCTCTGCAAGGCAGGCCCAGTCACTATCCGCATCTCGAGCCCCTGAAGTTAAATTCGGTCGCAAACTCCTGGCCAGCCCCCTCCCTGTGCAGCTAGGGGGAGAAAGGGAGGGAGGGGAAGGGGGAGCTGATAAAGGGAAAATGAATTAAAAGGACAGTTCAGAGATCACAGCTCCCACGTCCCAAACCTACCTCGGTGGCGGCCCTGCCAGGCGCGCTGCTGGAAAGTTGAGGGGAAGGGAGGGGGGAGGCTCCCGGCTGCCGCTTTGCTGACTAACGCGGGGGGTTAATGGGGCTGCGGGGTGCAGCCCCGGGCCCCGCTCCGGGACTCGCGGCGCACGGGGTCCTACCCCAGGGCTCGCCCG